CTACTACTACTACTACTACTACTACTACTACTACTACTACTACTACTTACTCCTCCTCCTCCTCCTCCTCGTCCTCCTCCTACTCCTACTGCTACTCCTCCTCCTCCTAGCCTACTCCTCCTCCTCCTCCTGCTCCTGCTCCTACTCCTACTCCTACTACTATTACTATCACTATTACTATTACCATTACTATCACTATTACCATTACTATTACTATTACTACTGCTACTATTGCCACTACGTTCACATCATGTTACCGCTACCGCTAACCACCGCCAACAACAACACCACTATCACTACTAGCTGTGGGGGCAGTGGTGGTGGCGGCGCCAGCGGTCACAGTGGTGGTCGTGCTAGTGGTCATGTTGGTGGTAGCAGTCGTCGTCGCTGCTGTGGAGGTAATAGTGCAAATTGCACAAATAAAATAGTGGCCGCCATTTTAGTATTCCTACTGAAAAGGTAGTGGTACTAGTGGCCATGATCATGAATGGTACAACAGCTGCGATGGCGCAATAGGCAGAACCTGTTCCTGCTGCTGGCGTGGGAGAGGCAGAACCTGTTTGCGCTGCTGCGCAGTGGGCTGATCGTCTACTGGGCGCGGAGGAGTGAAGCATGGAGCGGCGGCGCGTGGTGTGGCAGCGATGGCGGGCAGCTTGTTGCAAGCTTCTCGCAGGGACGGAGAAGCACAAGGCAGCAATTGCACAAATTGATGACAAACTTCGCCACTTCAAGAATGGCGACGTCTTCGCTGAGCTCAAAGATGAGGCTGCCTGGGAAGGTGTGCCCGCTATGCCTGTTCAAGTAGTATGGTCATGGTCGTGGTCACGCTGCAAGTGGTGAAGCAGTCGCGGCACTCCTACTAATAGCAGTCGTCGTAGTCGTTGTCGTCGTTGTCGCCGCCGTCGTCGTCGTCGTGGTGGTAGCGGTGGCGGTGGCGGTGGCCGTGGCGGTGGCTGTGGCGGTGGCGGTGGCGGTGGAGGTGGCGGTGGTGGTACTGGTACTGGTACTGGTACTGGCAATAGTTGTCGTAGTAGTGGCGGAAAAAAGCGATGGTAGTAGTAGTGCCACTACAAGTCCTCGTGGCCCTAGTCCCACCAACGCCGCCATATGCGACGACTATATACTACCGCCGCCAGCTGAATCCAGTCCCGAGTCCTAAGTCCGACAGTGTAACGATCATCCGCATTCCAGCGTTCTAGGGTGTTTCCATTTTTCTGGCCAATACTCCTTGCGATCATGTACTACCTATTGGTGGGATTGGACGCAAACAAATTGCTTCCTGAGCCTGCCGTTAAGCTGGTATCGCAAACAACTGTTGACAAACAGAGACTCCGCCTGACTTTGGTTGCCGAGGACCTCAACCCACAAAAGCCCTGGTTGCGAGCATGCTTTCCAGGACCACTATGCCTTACAAAAAACAAGTACTCTCCCAAACTGCGTGCTCGCACAAACGATGCTCTGACACTTCAACACAGACTGGCCGAGTATCTTGACTGGGTTGATCAACATGCGATTCGACTTAAACGCTCATCTCGACTGGATTATCTCGACTGCATTCATCTGCATTGCGTCAGGAAGCCTTCCAATTCATCGCAGAAGGATTTTAGGAGTTTGCGGCGGTGGCACACTGGGGCACCCCCAAACAGGGGCCTCTTTCGCTGGCGGGTTCCTCTCTGCGACGATGCCCTCAGAATTGTTTCTGGCCTGGGTGAACCACGTTGGGTGAAATTTGAAGTTGTTGTGTGTTGTCACACGAAAGCTGAGGAGGGCTAAATCTTTGCGACGTAGTCTTTTGATTCTGGTTGGACGGCGCATAGCGTTTCACGCAATGGCGCGACATTGCTTGGCTCCCCGAGTGGAGCCGTGAGCGGAGATTCATGTTGTTGCACGTGCAGGCGTATCAACCTTCACGATCCAAACAACCGCGCTACTACTTGCTACTTGCTACTTGCTACTGCCTACTGCCTACTGCCCACTGCTACTACTACTACTACTACTACCACTACTACTACTACTTCTCCTCCTCCTCCTGCTTCTCCTCCTGCTCCTCCTCCTGCTCCTCCTCCTGCTCCTCCTCCTGCTCCTCCTGCTGCTCCTCCTGCTGCTCCTCCTGCTCCTCCTCCTGCTCCTCCTGCTGCTGCTGATGCTCCTGGTGCTCCTGGTGCTCTTGGTGCTCCTACTACTACTACTACTACCACCACCACCACCACCACTACCACCACTACCACTACCACTACCACTACCACTACCACTACCACTACCACTACCACTACCACTACTACTACTACTACTACTACTACTACTACTACTACTACTACTAATGTACCCAGAAGTCAAAAAGATCCCGAGAGCGCAAAAGCTGCATGCAGGCTTTTCTTACGCGCTTTGATTGATGCCGGGGTCCTCCCCCAGACCCTGTACCGTTTGGTCAGCTTCAAAACCCTCAGCTTCGCCAGGAGGACAAAGGGTGTGTCAGGCAATAGGATTCGCCCATCCCTGCCAAACACCCGAGTGTCCCCTATTCCTCCCAAACCAAAGGGCACCTGTCAAGGTGCCAGGGGACAGGGTCGGGAGGACTGCCCACCGGATCCGGTCACGGGATCTTGGGTGGGAACCTAAGAAAATCCAGTCGAAGACAACAGTCTTGTGGCAAAAGGAAAAACAAAGAGGGTCTCCGGGGCCGGTAACCGGCAATCTAAGGAGAACCCTTCAAAATCAGGGTGAGTAAGTTCGTCAGCCCAGGTGTTGTATTCCCTGGGGACGTGGTTCGGAGCAATGCGACAGCCCTCACAATGAAGGAAAAGAACCAGCTCCATTAACAGCGCTGCCGTGTATGGTTTCTTGGCAGCGAGGTTGAGCAAGCTGAAGATGTTGCCCGAGTTGTCGCTGCCAACCGGGAGGCGAACTCGTCCCGGAAGCTGGCCCTGTTGGGCCACCAAGCGCTTGCAAAGAAGTAAGGTACCCAAGAGTTCCAGAGCCGCGATGCGCTTCTGTGGGTTGCCATCTTTGAACGCCCAAGGGTGTGCATCCGCTGTAATGGCATAGTGAAACCAAAGGACGGTTTCCTTGGTGGGCAATGAAGAGGAGGAAACCCGCAGCAGCCAGGGAGCACAGATGGTTCCATAGGGGCTGCGGAAGCATATCTTGGCCAAGGGGCCCCTTGTCACGTCGGATGTCAACCGCCCAAATCAAAGGCGAGAGGTCTGGACACGTGGAGTGGATGTAAGAGTCCAGGGAGCCCGCGTTGGTTTGGCCTCTGGTGGGAGAGGGATTTTCGTCCAGTGAAGTGAAGGCAGGTTCCACCTGGAAAGTGTTTGCCTGGGTCCAGGGCGGGTCCCCGCCCCCGCCTGGGCTATTTGCTGGGTTCCCGGCTGTCGATGGGGTGGCCTCAGTGTGGGCAGGTGTCCTTGCGCATCCGCAGGGTGACCCTTTTGGGGCTGATCAGGGCCAAGGGCACCTGGTCGAGGCCTCGGTTCATTGGAGGGTTGTGTGGACGGTACAGGGCCCAGGGCGCCTGGACCATTTCCGGTTTTTTTGTGGGGTTCCACATGCAGTTCTGCTGAAGCCGCAGGTGGAGGAGGGCCAAGGGCACCTGGACCGACCTGGCGTCACTTGGAGGCATGGGGGCATTCGTCTGGAGTGCGCTTGTCCGGAAACGCGTTGCACGCCCAGCCCCCTTGGCGGACCGGACAGTTGTGGGAACGGCCACAGCTGCCGGGGCAGGCGCCCGTCAAGTCTCGGCAAAATGCTTTCCCCTTGGGGTCCTTGAAGGCCCATGCGTCCGGCCACTGGCCCTTGCCTTTGCTGTTTGGGGTCTTGCCCTTGCCTCCTTTGGGAGTGGGCCTCGTCCCTTTCCGGCCACGATGTTTACCGCCTTTTGCAGGCTTGTCCCACTGGGTTTGCCAGACTTGGGTCCCTGTTCTTGCCCAGCCCCTTGGAGGTGGTTCTTGGGGTGTTGTTGCAGTACTCGTAGACTGCCAGAAGAGGTGGTCGTGGCGGAGCTTGGACAGGGCCTCAGCGAGTGGGGTGCCTGAGTGGACCAGGTCATGAATCTTGCGCCAGGCATTGCGCTCCGCAAACTGGAGGGCTCTTTCCGACGGGGGGGGTCGGCGACCCGCAATGTCCTCCCCGTAAAACCACTTACCATTCGTCCAGGGCCTCCTTGGTCAGTCTCAGATGGGCAAGCACATCAACAGGGTGGTCCTGAACACCCTGCGCATTCTCTCCAATTGCCGTCAGGTCCGAGGCCGGGTCTCTTCCTCATCTGCCCGGCCCCAGCCATCCACTGACACCTTTCGTGCGGTCTTGACGGGTCGCTCCCCGTCCTCCGGAAGGGCCCCGACAATGTGCTTGGCCTGGATGTAGCCAAGCTCCCCGGCCGCAATGTGCTTGAACTGGCGTTTCAGGTAGGCATCACTGTCCCGGCACTCCAGTCGTGGTTTACTCCAGTCGTGGTTTGAGGCAGTTGTATGCCTCAGCATAGGCGGTCTCCAAAAGAATGTAGGGGGGCCCTTGGCCGTGCCTGGGGGTTCCACGGCCGGTGCGACCCACATGAAGCTGTGTCTGAGCCATCAGCCTGGCCGCCCGGACCGCCTGAAGCAAACGCATGGCAGTGAACCGGGAGGAGGCCTGATTGAAGTTGTTCTCACCATCTTGGAACTCCAAATCTCGGGGCCCTTCA